CTCTCTCTCTCTCTCTCTCTCTCTCTCTCTCTCTCACACACACACACACACACACACACACACACACACACACACACACACGCACACACACACATGCGCATACAGGAAGATAGCAAGAGGAGGCAGGGGCGAGCAGACAGAGGATACACACGGCCTGAGCGACCTCCGTAGAAGATCGAACTGTGCGCTGGAATCTGTTTTGTACTCTTTTTACTTTTTCCCTTTTTTTTTTTTTTTTTACTTGTTTACTTTGTTACATTTTTTCTTCTGTTTCTTCTTCTTGGTGCTTGTTTGCCTTTTTTTACTTCTCTGCCTTTATCTCAATTTTTCGGCCTTCACTTGCTTACTTTTCGGAAAAAGGAGAAGAACCCCCCTCCCTTCAGGCAGCTTGATTGGCGTACGTAGGAAGTAACTCGCTCCCTTACGCGGTGACAAGAGTCAGGGGTGCAAAATAAAGGGATAGTCCCTCTCATGGCTGAGGCCCGGTGCCATTCGCACTCTTGCAAATTCTTCCCTTTATGTGGTTCATTTCACTTTTTCTCATGTTTTCATTTTTTTCTTTCTTTTTCTTTTTTTCTTTTTTTCTTTTCTTGTTTTTTTTCTTTTTTTCTTTTTTTTGGGGGGTAACCTCGGCGCAGTCACGAAAACAGTTTGTAATTGCATTCGAAACTGCGTTTTAGCAGTTTAGTCAGGGCCCGAGTTTCAATTGCAGTTGAAACTCGGGCTGCCTTTCCGTAGCAGTTCAGTCAGGGCCCTCGTCTATCCACAAACAGCAGATTAAAAAAAAAAAACAAAAAAAAACATCCCTTATGCTGTGATTGCGGTCCGATACAGGATGCTACAGTACTTGTCTGGAACTCAATGAAGCGTGGAATCCGCCCTGCCTGGCTGGAAGGGCGCTACAGGGACCTCACAACAAAAAACAAAAGAGGAAAACGACCTGTTTCATGTTCCTCACTTCCTGGCCAGATACATTCGTCAAAGCACTGGTGACCTGACGGCCTTCTCGATGTAGGTGGATTCAAAGTTCCTCGTTTCTTTACTTTTTTATTTCTTTTTTGTCTTTTTTCTTTTTTCGGCCTCCATCCCTGCCCCGAGGCCCTCACTTTTCAGAGTAGGCTACTCTTGAGACTTCGCGTTTGCCTGTGAAGGGTAGTGCCTGTGAATCTCTGCTGTGGCCGAGACATCTCGGCCCTGGCCAATCTGGGGTGTGGCCGAGACATCTCGGCCGTGCCCAGTCTGGGGTGCGGCCGAGACATCTCTGCTGTGGCCAGTCTGGGGTGTGGCCGAGACATCTCGGCCGTGGCTCAACCATGGGGCTTTTTTTTTTTTTTTTTTTTT